GGATACTTCTTTATTCTGTAGACCAGTCCTCTCCTGCCTGGTGCCCTCCAGATGACTTGAATTACAGCTCCCAGGATCCCATACCATTGGCAATACTGGCTGGGACTGATGGGAGCTGATGTCCAAACCACCTGAATGGTACCAGGTTAGGAAAGGGTGCTGTGTCAGGGAATTAGTCATGTTACCCACTCAAAGACTGGACACATCAACATAAGGACTTAGAAAATCCATGAATATTTGCCCCAGTCATATTGTAGCCTTTGCACAGTAACCCCACAAACCCTGATGTAAGTCAAGAACATGATATGCAGTCTATTCGAGATAGACAAAGATGAGTGCGATAATCTTTCTGTGAGATGTAGGCAGGAATACTCTTGTTTTCTAAAGGAAAATGCAGCGTTTTAATTAATCAAACTACAAACCAGAGTTCGACAGACCAAGGTATTGCTGCCAGGGGAGGGAAGCATTGGTCATATTTGTCATTTATTAAATGCTGATTGAGTGTCAGTGCAGATTCAGCTTCTGAAGAGTCACGAAATGGCACAGGCATTGGAGAAAGTTGTGTCACTGGCACTGTTCATACTACGATCAGTACCAAAGAGGTGCTTATGAGCACTTGCATGTTTGCATTTCACATAGAAAGATTCCAGGAAGTGAGGTGCAGCCTTGATAAAAGTGGACTGGAGCCTTCAGCACAGACGGTGGAGATGAGGGTCGTGGGTGGGTGACTGGACACCCAGACATTGTTTTAAGAATGGGCATGTTAGAAAGCTTCTAAGGTTGCAGCTGCTTGATGGACCCTTACAGGGCAAGAGCCTGATAGAACATAATAGAACTTCTTGAACATTCATTGGGTGGGGCTGCTTCCATTCTGTGTTGCAGTGGTGTGTAAATGCATGTGCAGGCTGAGACAGCTTCTTGGATAATGTTGCGAACAGGTCTGGTGCTCAGGGTCAGTGCTCTTTAAGTTTGGTCTAGACTTAATATGGAATTACATGACTCTTTCAGTGTTGTTTGTTTGTTTGTTTGTTTAAAATAAAACAGCTTTAGAAAGATACAAGGGCAGTAGGAGAGTAGCAGGGTGGGGGCTGTTTAATGCCGTCCTCCCTGTTATTTGTCTTCTCCAAATCAACTCTCCAATCTGTTCTCTTCCTGTTTGGGGAAGATGTAGCCTCCCTGATAATTTTCTCTCACAATTTGGAATGCACCTTGGGCTAATTTTGAGTGAAGAAATGGGAGGAAGGGAGAGGGTTAAGCAGAGCTTCCCTACATGATTTCTCTGCTCAAACTCACATCTGTTTCAGACTGTTTTTCATTTAAAAAAAGCCACTGGGGAACCTGTTCATCGTGCGTAGTTTGGCCCTGTGATTCTAACATCTCGTGGGGATATTTCTAATTAAACCTTTCCACTTCCAGAAAGTGTGTCCTATCAAATATGTATACTTATAAATAAATATATGATGCAGCTAAGAATGCTGAAGGGATGGGATATAATTCTCCATCTACCTTCAGATTCTGCAATTTGCATTTCAGGGTTAAAAAAAATGCTATAGATGGACAGAGATTTATGCTCTCTGTTTACTAACCTCTAAACCACATTTCACTATTAAGGATGAGAGGTGGGTAAGCCCTTCCTCGTAGGTAGGGTGGCCTGTTGTGTATCACCAGAAGGGAAGAAATGCAGAGAAGTATCTTTATGTTGTAAACAATCAGAAAGCTCATGAGCTGTTGGACATTATATAAAACTTGTTAAATAAATAAATAAGTCACTGCAAGAAAAAGGACAAACGAGGGCATGCAGATTCATGTATAGCGATGGAAATTTAGAAATCAGGGTTCTAATTGCATTAGAATGCAATGCAGCTCCTCACAGAATGGAAGACTGCAGCCGGGGTTCCTGTATGACTGCTTGGGGGTATTTAAAGGAACCCTTCGTGTGGTTCCTTCTCTTGAAACTGGACAGGACAGTCTTAAGCAGATGATGCTTTCAAATGGAGAAGTATCCTCTGTATAGTTGGAGAGATGGCCAGCTTTTTTCTCAGATCTTGGAAGAATGGGAGCAAATAAAAAAGGACTGGAATTGGATTCCGCCCATCATACTGTTTGCAGTGCTTTGAGTGACTGCGGTGGCCACTTCTTCAGAGTACTTTCTTGCCTGACTTGTCAGCATTGAGAGTGCAGAAATCTGCCTTACCTGAGGCAAAAGCCATTTGTCCATCTAGCCAGTGTTTCTACTCTGACTGGCAGGGTCTCGCGTCGGAGTCTTCACATCCTCCGCATTTCTACCTGATCCTTTTCATGGGCAACCAGGGACTGAACCTGGAACCTTCCTTATGGAAAGCATGTCTTCTCCCACTAAACTCTCATATCCCCTGTAAAAGCCTTGCCATCCAGTCTGCCAGCCCCTGCCCCGATGCTCTTACGTGTTCTCACGGGTCATCCTGCGGCTGTCAAGACTGAAAGGGCTGAGCTGTGGCATGGTGCCTATCAGGCCTCACCTCTGGATGATTTGCAGGACTCTTTACCCAAATGTCTATGGCTTTGGAATTGGGAAGTTCACTGGCAGTAACAGGGGGTGCTTCTTGTTTTGTCACCTGCTCTGCTATGCGTAGGGTTTGTGTGTATGCCATTGGCAGTTCTGGGATACGTATCCATTTAGTATACTCCTATAGTCCTGGTATGTCTCCTTGACCCTAGCCTGCTGAAGCTAGTTTAAATTACTAGTACTACTTCTACTACTACTGTTATTTCTGTGCCATCCAATTGCTAAAGCTCTCTGAGCAGTTTACAACAGCACATAAAATACAGTTTAAAAGCAAATTTTAAAAACTGCAATAGGTAGCACAAATTAAACCACAAGACCTATTAAGCAACTTATACAATGCTCCAATATAACATTAAAGCCAATTAGCAGAGGACAGGCTTAACCTGGTACCAAGGTAGAGCTGGCACCAGGTGGGCCAAAGTGGGGAGCTTGTGCCATAAATGAGGGGCCATTACTGAGAAGACCCTCCTTCTTGTTTCCACCAAACAAGTCTCCCTCAGAGACCCCAGGTCTTTATTGTAGAGTCTCTGTTTCTCCAAACTTTTTATCAGAGAAGAAATACTAAAGAAACCATAACTTGTTTAAATCAGGATTCAGCATGTTGCAGTCAGGGAGGTTATGGCATGTAGGCAAGAATACTACTTCTAAGATAATGCTACTCATGTGTAGAATTTACCTGGAGAAGAGAATTCAGTATCCTGGGTATTTCAGATTTCCTTTTTTGTTTAAAAGAAGTTGTTTCTAGTCCTTGTGTTGTGGAAATGAGCTTGAAATATGTGAATTTGCACACAGGACTTGTATACCACACATGTGCAGTCTCCGTACAAATTTGATTCAGAATGTGGGTTACTGGTGCAGTTTTTCATAGAGAGTACTGACAATTGTTCATGTTCATCTTATTTTTCCCACCATGGACAGCTCCCAGCACCATGGGACACTACTATACTGCAAATATATTATCTAGAGCATGAGTCCTCAAATGAAGACCTGCCATGCCCATTTGGACCCGCCCCATGCATGCCCGTGTCCATGCGCACGCACGCCACCACCCACCACGCCCCGTGCGCGGGGAGGCAGCAGTTTGCTCACTTGGAGAAAATGATCTCCAAGCGAGCAAGCCACTGCCTTGTGCACCTGCCTCACGGCGCATGCCCACGCCTCGCCTTGCCTCTCCTCGCCCACGCCTCGCCTCACTTTGCCTCGCCATGTGCCCCGCCATCCCCCTCAGCGCACTTGCCTGCACATGCAGCCCCCTCCCCTGTGCTGACCTGCGCACACCACCGGCACCACCTTTCCGGCCCGCATCCAGCACCGGCCACTTTCAACTGGCCCCCTGGTGGAAAAGTTTGAGGACCCCTGGCCTAGAGCCTAGAATGATACAGTGCGGAATGGAGATAATAAGCCATCCCTTCTTTCAAGGATGGCAACCAGCAATGCTCTGTAGAAACTGGGATAATAGTTCTGCTTTCAGCACTTTTTACTAATTTGTGCACTTGGCTTGAGCTAGAGGAAAGGAATGATTTTCATTCTGAAACCTTTCTGGAAGTGAAATGCTTTACTTGAAGAAACTATTTTCTTACAGGTAACAAAAATGCATTAAGAAATTCAGTTGTTTCACAACTGCACAAGGGGAATAGGGCACCTCCAGTCCTGTCCTCCTACTTGAGAAAACAGAGCAGGTCATATGGTATCAGCATTAAAACCTCCCCTACTCCTTCCAACCCAAACACTCCTGTTTTCTGTCTTGGGAGAAGCATTGGTTTTAATGTGTTTTACTCTGTTTTATGCATGGTAAGCTGCCTAGGGAGGCCTCAGCAATTATAAGCAGCCTATAAATACATGAAAATAAATAAATTGTAGCTCTTGGCTACATCAAGAAAGCAACCCATGTGTTGTCTGTCTGTCTTTCTGTCTGTCTCCCTCCCTCCCTCCCTCCTCCTTCTTTCTTTCTTTCTTTCTTTCTTTCTTTCTTTCTTTCTTTCTTTCTTGCTCTGTGAGGTATAAACATTCTGATAAAACATCATACAACTGTCCACAAAGAAAGATTACTGTAGGAAGTGTCTTGATGTTTTTTTTTTTTTTAGTGTGGAAACATTTAATAGAGGTGCATTTTTCACAGAACACCTGGGTAATATCTTGCTTGCTTGTCCATGCACTCCAAACTTCACCCGTAGGGAGTGCACTGAGGAAATGGACAACTGTCAAGCCGAAAGGTGCTGCTGGAAACCTGGGCACCATTCTGCTTCTCCTCTCCCTTTGTTTTCTCCTTTCCTGTCTTCTTTGCATCTCATGTTCATTCATATGTGTATATGCACCCAGGAAAGAAAACATGACAGCAACATTCTCCCTTTTTAAGCCAACTCATTGTGTCCCATGGTGACACTTTGAGTGACTTTTGCTTGCTCTTATTGTTGGTTTGTCACCAGCTTGCACTGTCTTCTCTTCTGCTTTCCAGGGCTCTGGCTGATATCCTCCGGCAGCAGGGACCAATCCCCATAGCACACTGTGAAAGAGAGACTATCTCAGCTATAGATACCTCCCCCAAAGACAACACACCTATCCGAACTTCCTCCAAAAACCACTACACACCAGTGCGCACCTCCAAGAGCAACCCAGGTAAGCACTGCACTTCTTCAGTACTCAGGGAAGCACACTTGGTGATCACTTATGGAAAATGAGTCAAAACCGAGGTGCTGAGTTCATCGGGTGCCGTGCATTGTTGCCGAGGACTCCAAGAAGGATCTGTGGTGGTTTGCATTGCAAGTGGTCTTTGAAGAAATGCAGACACATTTGCTAAGTGACGCTATAATGCCACAAGGACTTGCCAGTCATGTTTCAATCCTCCGTAAGGAGGAGGAACACAGAGATGTTTTGTGACTGCCTCACGGTCATGGACTGTAGCTTGGCTCTGGGATAAGAGGAAGGCAAAAGAGTGCAAAAAACAAATAAAGGAAAGTCTACAAAAATAAAACAGTGGGAACATTATGAAGGGCAAGCAGTGGTGGCTCATGCTTCCAGTCAGAAAGCATGACCCAGATCCTCATCTAGCGTTGCCAGGAGCCCTCCATTGCCTTTGCTTCCCACCTCCTGGGAAATAAAGGCACACTTTGTATTCTCCTTTGCATGAACCACTGCAATCATAGTGGGACACGACGTAGAGTGAGATGCCCCAGTTCAGTCACAAATGATTGAGTCTGACACGGGAGTCACTGGGCAAAGTTTTCCTGCCTCTGCTTATTTGGGAGGTCAGAGCAGGTGACCTTAAATGGGTAATCGCTCCATGAGGGGCTGAGCCAATTCATCTCTTCTGCAGAAGGGGAAACTGAATCTTCCCAGAACTGTGCACAGCTAGGCTATTTAAGAAATCTTTTCTTCCTTGATCTTATGGATTGGGGCCTGAGGGAACTTTCCCGTGCTTAGGAAAAAGAATGGCAGTTGTCCTCGGGTTTTGCAAGACAGGGACTGTAATCCTGAGAAGTTTCCCAGTCTTTGCTAAAAGAGAGACACAAGTGCTGGCCAACCTACCTCTTCTGTCGAAACATATAATTAGGGAAAAGCAGCTTTGATAGAGACCGTGTTTCAGCAGAGGCATAGCATAGGAGACTGTATACTGGGACCTTCTTCATCTGCCACTTTACTGCCACCATTCCATCCCTGCTCCTCCAGCTGCTCCTTTATGGTTTCAAGATGGGTGTTTATCCCTGCAAATGCATGAAAAGAACCTTTTGGGGGTGGGGTGTAGCAGTGGTGTCTGTGGGAAATGACGGGAGAATAGTGAGTGAAGAAAGGATTAAGCACTTCCCCCTCCCCAGGTATCCACTGAAGGCCACCTTGACTGAACCGGTGTCTTCCAAAAGGGAATAACAAGTCACTGAGCTTTCAATAACATGTGTTTGTATTGGATGTGCAGTCTGGTCTTAAAGTGGACAGAGGCCCTTGAATATCAGAATAACAAGAACATGGAAATACTGCATACTTTAATGGGGCCTGCTAGTTGCACCCCCTAAGAGAAGACCAATGAGGTGAGATCTGAAGGTTTGAATAAGATGAACTATCCTGCCAAACAAAAGAAGGATGATCCCTGGAGAAAGAGAGTAGGAAAAGAAGGAGCTGCCAAGGGTAGCAGCTCTTCTAACCAAGCAGGGGAGTCAGCAGAAGAACAAAAGAAAGGCATCAAATTCACATCAGGATTTGCATCATGATTTGAGGGGCTAAACCGATACTCCTGCCAGTATTGCATTGGATTTTTCCCGCACATGGAGTAGTTGCACAGCTCAAAGAATGCTTTCCATACAGTTTTCTTCTTGACCCTCAAGCTTTCCAGAGGCAAGGAATATTTTCTCCACCATCTGGTGCCTCACACTGGCCAGCCAGATACCTCTGGGAAGCCTGTACCTGGGCTGGACGGAGGTTGTTCTTCCCTGTTGCTGGACCTGGGCAACGGGTGTTCAGTGGCAGGCAACCCCTAAGATTGGAGGTTCTATCTATCTATTGTAGCTAAAACCCATTGTGGAAACAAGTGTCCTTCAAGCACTTTTTATAGGAGCAATCACACAGATGCATTTGAAAGTGCTGCATTGTTATAAGAAGACTAAGATGCCACATGTTTCCTGAAAGTTTGCACCAGTATTCGGGCATCCAGCATTCCTGAGATCCCAGTCATGCTTGCCATACCAGCCCCACCCTTCATACATTGTGGGAAGAGCCTGAAGTGGGGATCTTGCTCTCTATATGTATGGTCCCTTTTTCATTTAGCACTCCGTCGCGAAAGAGGAACCCTGGTCCCCTCTTCAAGCATACACTAAAATGGCATTGGAGGTGACAATTTTATTTCCAAGGAGTCAGAAGTTTTTGATTCTCTGAAGAAGCATCTATAACTGTGCAAACTGAAGTAACTCATGTAGAAGCCAGTACAATAACCCTGGCTGTGCTTTTTTTTCTTGCTAGCGTACCGGGCAGGTAAATGAGGTTTTTAATCCCATAAGAGGGGCACTTTAGCTCTGCCAAGGTACAGACCAGTTTAAGGGTGTGTTGAGGTGGGGATGTTGGAATTAAAAAGGTTACAACCTCAAGGTTGTTTACCTGCCTGGTACGCTAGCAAGAAAAAAAGCTCATTACCAGGGGACTCCAGAACTGACGAGGTCTCATGTGCACAAATGAGTGCACATGAATTTTCCTTGAATTTCCATGAAACTCCTTGAATTTTCATAGCACCTCAGACCATCAGGTTCTTCTTCACCCTAGTCAATGTACATGTTCAGCTGAGAGGGATCATGTGTAGAGGAATGCCATGTTCCATCACTATGTGTGAATGTAAAAGGCCTCAAGTTCCTACTGAAGGACAGCAGCAGCAGCAGCAGCAGCAGCAGCCACCACAACAACGGTGGTGGCATCACAGAGGCAGAGCGTTGGGAGGGAAGAGGAAATTAGTTCAGTCTAATTAGGATGAAGAAGGAGATCTCTGCAGATTATCTGAAGTATTTTAAATGCCAATGAACTGGTTTGGTCACAGGGAGAAACACTCTGGATTTTGTGGCATCCTGGGTTGCAGCTTGAAATGACAAAAACTTTCCACTTCTTGTCTACAAGAGTCTACAAAAGTCTTCACCAAAGAAATGAAGCTATGATTTAAGTTTCTTCTTTTATTTGCAGAGTTCACAGTATGTTGGGAGAAGTGATTGCTGGGACTATTGTTTTAGTTGGTTTCAATAACAGCAGCTGTGAAACAAAAGAAAAGAAGATGTGTATAGATTGGGGATTCTGCAATTTTTATTTTTATTTTTTTGCTTCCCAGTGCAAAAATTATGTATTTGCCATTATGGATAAGTATGATAAGTATGCTAAATAAAGCAATAGATTTCCAAATAGTTACTCTTGATCTGAAGGAAGGAAGGAAGGAAGGAAGGAAGGAAGGAAGGAAGGAAGGAAGGAGTTTGTGTGATTTCTGTTAAAAGGGAAAAGTGAGAAATAAACCATCATTTGTGCTTGGTTTGGAGAACAGTGATGTCCGCTAACAAGCTTTCTGGGCTTTAAACAGGTAAAGAAAATGAGCATCCCAGCATTGTGCCCCACCACAACCTGTGCCTAGTTACCTGGGAGTAAGCACTATTGTTCTCAGGGGAACTTGTTTTACAGTCGATAGGCACCGGATTGCTCTGTGTGCCTAATGAGTGTGAGTGAGCATCAATAATGCAAAACAGTCATTGGGCAATTGCAGAAATCATCTCTATGTTCAAAGTGCCTTGAACTTACAGTGCCAGTATTTGATGAGGCAGCAATATAACAAGAAAAATATTGGAAGGTTTCACATGTATAGATTACAAGGGCAATGGCTCATCTACAATATGGGAGGGAAGCATATTTGAGGAACTGGTTCCTCCATTCTGCATGACTATCTAGGAATCTTGCCATTTTCCGTTATGAGTTAAATATAAAACATGGCGATGGGTTTTGGATGATCATCAAGAAAAGAAGCTCTGGTGGCTTCTTTCCTCAGCCCTTCATGAGCCTGGCAAGTGTCGTGCTATTGCCAAATTACCCACATGGCACGTGGCTTCCCATGTCATCTGAACCTGGTGAGATGCACAGCAGGGGTGGCCTTCAAACCGCCCCAAACCCCATAGCCTTTTGTGGGGTTCTGGGCTGGTTTTGAAACCAGGCATCTCTCTGGGTTGGGATGCTATGGGAAGCTGCGTGCCGAGAGGGTCACAGGGCAGCTTGTGTGGTGCGTCACCTGATACAGGGGCCTACCATAATTGTGCAAATCTGACCAGCATGTTTAAGCTTGCAAGAAATCTCTCTAATTGGTCTGTCTATCAGTATTCCTTTGGCACATTGCAGAGGCGCTAATTGTTCAATCTCATCCTTAAAACTTCGACTCTTATGTTTGCAAGCTTAAGATAGTGTTTCATGATTTTGGTTCCCTGTGTGGTGGGCAGTTCAGGACAAGCTCTAAAAAGTGGCATAGTGACTTTTCTGAATAGTGTATGCTGAATATTTGTGTAGTGCCTTTCCTGGCCCCCTATGAGAGCTTCTCAAAAATCATATTGGGTGCTGCAGCTGAAAGAGATTCCTCACCTTGATTTAAAAAGTTTGCAGACTCAGGGGACCTGGCTGGACTTGCCATGCCCAAGGCCCAGTCTCCCTTTCCAGATGGAAGGAGAGCCTCAGACCTGAGCAGATCTTGCTTCACTGTGTCTCAGTATATGTTGCACCAGAAGGACAACACAAGTTAGACCTGTGTGATCAGGTACAGCTGGGGAAAGACTTTAATAAGCCATTGAAGTCAGGATGTTCCCAGTGTGGACACCCTCAAAGTGCAGTTTTCAGCAACTCCCTTCTACCTGGGGAAAATTCTGATTTTAGTCTACATGCTAAACAAGAACAGAATGACTCTTCAATGTTTTTTTTTTTTTTACAAATCACAAATGTGCCCTGCCAACTGCAGGGTTAAGCAGAATGGAAACATTTCCTCTTTTAATTCTCCTTACACAGATGGGAAGTGATTTTGAAGCCAATGCCAGATTTCTCTGAGCTGGCAGATGAGAAGAGACACCTGTTTTGCTTTAGTGATCCATGCGAAGAGCACCCTGGAGTCACATGCAGGGGGACCAAGG